TAGGAGGCCCAATTGTGATGACAAATTCTAATGTGACCAGAACAAAACGCGAAGCAAAAGGACAATGTGCGCACCGAAAAAACATTACAGTTTTGGAGTTCAAATTTGTATTCCTACTGGAACTATCACTACCATAACTATCCCTTTAAGCAGCCTTAAAGAGGGGAAAGATGCAAAGAATGGAATTGAATATGCTAATGAGTATTGGTACTTAACTAATGATCAGTTGAGCCAAGGGTGGGATACGTTAGTGGCAGATCAAGATAACAAATGGACTCCAAACAGGCAAAGACTAAATGGGCGGTGCGCCAGGCAGAGCTCCTAACCTTAACCAAAATGGGATTAAACCTTGTATTAACTGTGAATAATGTGAAGAGAAACTTAACATTTAATGGTGAAGAATGTTGGTTGTTTCTACTGAGGGCTTACACAGGCAGGACAGATCCAATCTATAAGTTGATTCATATGTGAGATGCCACCAAAAACCACAAAGGACACATCCACAGAACCGGTCTTAAGTCCCTTATTACAAGGAAGTGGAATAAAAGTTAAAGCTACAGCAACACTCACTAAAGAACAGGTGTTTAACATTGCAACAGGCATGTCTGACTATGGAAACAATTGGCTAACTATGGTAGAACAGGCTACAAAGCATGTAAATAAGGACTGTGTTGCCTGTATGGGACCACGACCCCTTCTGAGGATGGTTCCAACACCTCCTGAGTTAACCACACAATGTATAGAAGAGATATTGACTAAGACAACACCTAACAAAGAATGCGCGGAGTGGGACGCGGTGTATCCGCTGACCAAACCTGAGAAACAAAAACCCATATTTGCTGCTAAATTACCAAAAGCAAATTATACCTGCGCTATACGCTCAAATTCAGAAGCCAATGTTTTTGGTTCAATTGATGTGAACTTTTGTGCAAGGACTCTGAACACTACTGGAGCCCTACCTAAAATGCGCAGCGACATCTACTGGTATTGTGGAGGAAAAATACTTAGAGGAAACTTACCAACTGAGTTCACTGGTGTTTGTGCTTTGGTATAGAAGTAATACCTTTAGAATCCAACTGAAAACAACTGGGAACATCCAAACTAAACGGGAATATAAAGGACGTTGGGGAGAATCCATGACGCCATTGGAGTACCTAGAGGGGTTGATGACAATCTGGATTTGAAAATCTTCCTGTAATATCAGCCATAATACCAATCACTCCAGCAGACCGTTAACTACATCCAGTCCAGAAGAAAGGAAAACTGTGGAGGCTTTGTGGAATGTTAGGAGCAGGGCACACATGTTGCGTTGTCATACCCAACAATACAGCTGCGGATGGAAGCCTGACACGTGCTATAGGTAGCCTGCGAGCTATGAATAGGCGCCTAAAAGAGCAGTCTGGGGTGAGCACAACCTTCTGGGACGACTGGTTGAACGTGTGTTTGGTCGTTACCGGGCACTAGCTTCTTCAATTCTGATATCAATCGCAGTATTTGTATCCATCTTGACCTTGTGTGGATGTTGTTGTATTCCTTGTCTCCGTTCATTAATCAATAGGTTAATAACCACTGCCATCGCACCCATCACCGAGGGAAAAGGGGTGCCGATAAACCTATTGGAAGGCAGTGATGAAGAGGACCCTGAAGGAGCACTTCCAAACCTATTCCAAGAAACCTCCCAGGTGTAAGAACGAATGAACCTGTAATTAAAAATCCAAAGTGAAGTGATTACAAGGTGATGACACAGTTTCGATAAACAGGAGGGAATGATGGATTCAACATTTATATTAATCTCACTGTGTATGTAATGGTAATGTAATCTTCACTTTTGTTATTCAATCATATTGTAATCAATGTATCAATATGTGCACTTAAACGATTCTGTTTCTGAGTATTGCAGATTTCATGTGTTTGCAGAAGGTCACGAAGTCCTATCAAATTCAATAACAGGAAACATCTTGGGCGACCATTGCTTGAGGAGGATAAAACTAAGGAGGATGAAATGAGGAGGGCAGACTGACCTTAACTCTGGCCTGAATACACTGTATTGAAGTGTTATTTTGTGTTTCCTGTAAGCAAAAAGGAACTACTCCTTTAATGTTTAATGTTTTGCATGTTCCCCCTCCCGTTCTGAGAGGAGTAGTTCCCATTGTAACTAGGGGTCCTAATATTGAATAAAAGGCGTGGAGAAACGAGAGAAGGCTTTAGAGAGTATTGAGAGAACAGCAAGTTACATGTAACTAGTTCTTCTCTCGGTACTCCCTCCACGCGTGTAAAAGATATTAATCTCTTGTCTTCTCTCTTATTGAATATTGAGTATAGGTAAAGGTGAACCTATCAGTCTTCCAAATCTGAAATGAGTCATATTAGATTGACTCTTCATTGTTTGTCATCATTTGAATAAGGTCTTGTACCCACCTTCAGCAGATGTCTGAGAAGCTCTTCTAAGGTCACAGCAGCATTTTTTAGAAATTCGTAGTGCCTTTTTATTTCACTCACTAGGATCACTTTCTCCTCCTGGAGCCGAGTGAGGAGCAGAATCTTGTCAAATGTTCTTTTCTTGTTGCCACATATTCCGTGGCCTAAGAAGCACAGAATAATTATTATAAACATAATGAACATGTTCACTGTATGCATGCACTGTACTTACATTCCCAGGGCCAGGAATAATGGTCCTCAGACAAGATAGAGTTTGCATCAGGCAGTTGGCTGTCATGCGTCTGATTATATTCTGAAAGAGCAATTTCCAGCTTCCTTTTTTCCTGAGCAATCTTTTGTCTTTGTTTAGCCCGACTCCTGTTTCCAGCTAGAAATTCCAGGACATCCATTTAGATGTTATGACAGATCAAATACAGCATAAACATTTAAAATATAATGTTTTAATAATGTGAATGACTATGGCCATGTCACCACTCTGTCCATACAGATAGTACTTGTGCTGCTTAATGCTGAGGTAAAGCTCTTCAATATTTTTCTCAATTTTGTTTGTCGTTGCCCCTTATAGATGTTAATGATAAAGACATTTTATTGGAACCAGATCAATACATTATTTGGGCTGCAATTCAACGTCTGCATTCTACCTGCACTCCACTGTTGGACATCAGAAACCCACTGGGCCATAGTGTCTTCAGTGAGACTTAACTCATGGGCCAGTTTGTTTAGGTCCTCAGAGGCGTCTGTTATCCTCTGCAATGTCTGCAACAAAGCAGAGTTTTTCAATTTGTTCAAATTAATAATCATAATCAATGTAATTTTGTACCTTCAGGAACCTTTTGGCCAAAGAGTAATGCAGCTTGTCTGCCTTCCTCTTATTCCACCCAATGGCATGGACCGTAAGCATGTCAGTACGCCCTTAAGAAAGCACATCGAAAGTTACTCAAATGGAACCACTCAAACATTCAAAAGGATATGTTTTTACCAGATTTGGTCATGTATTTGGTGCAGAGAGCAGCACGAGAGAGGTAGCTGTTAACTTGCTCCACTTCCTCTCCAATAGTGGCCCCAGCACCAGTCTGGTTACAGCCACCCCACTGCAACTGATAAAAGAAAGGACAATGACTTTGACAATAAAAATCATACATTGTTGTTCATGATTAATTAGAAGTACCTCACACTGCCATGAATGTGCTTTTGCATTACAGACAAAAAGGGGGCATGTCCATCAGCTCCCCCATCTCGGGACACTGCTGGGCTACTCTTTGCAAATATGGCCAGTATTTGCATATAATGTCCATGCAAAAAAACTTCACATTGAAATGTGAGAGTTCTTTCTGCAAGTAGAGGGGATAGGCAAATATTTCCCCTCTATACATATTTAGCCCTCGTAGGAGGAATCCATGGCGGCACACAGCAACCTCAACTCCTTCTTCATCAATCTTGGAAGAAGATTTTCTTGCTGTTTCTTTGGCAGCTGTGCACTGGCTGGACCCACACCTACCTTTGGCAAGATTCTGTTTAAAAAAATAAATAAAAAATTCACCATACAAAGCAGTTCTGCATTACAGAGCAAAATCTGAGTCAGCACTGTTGATGCCTTAACTGTAATTAAAAAAAGAATATTTGTGTATAGTTTTTGGATCATAACATACATGTCTTGTTGTCCCATGTACATGTTGCACAAATGATGCAACTTCTTCGTCTTTGGCCAGGAAGACGCCATCATAGAAACCACTTTTCCTGAAAAAAATTAAAATAGATGAAGTTATACAGCATGATACCTAATGTGTGGTGGTTACAATCATACTCACACGCACACAGGTTGGTTCTGGAATCGATATAACTTCCGGTTGCCATCAACTGCCACAGCCAGCATTGATGGCGTGCAGGCTGGGCATTTAAATAGGGGCACATCAAGAAATGTATCAATTATATATTGGGCATAGCTCCACTGTAAAAAAGCCCTCTGCAGAGCCTCTCCAGATACTTTACCACTCTGTTGCAAAAATAACACAAATCATACAATGAAATGATTATAATGAATAAAAAAGGTACATTAATGACTCACCCTCCCAAAAGACAAAGTTCTTTGATCCAGCAGCCCAACAAATGCCAAGCAAGACAATGCCGGTGCTGTTACTTTTAATTCTCCAAATGTGGCTAGTAGGTCCACTTCAAATACTGTGTCAGAATTGACAGTAGCTGGACAGTACCCGCCATCAATTAGAGTTTTTAGATCAACCGTCTGCGTTCTTCCACAAGAACACATCCAGTTGGGAAGATGCAAGTTGTATCTCCCTTATGAAATTACACATTTAAAAAAAAAAAAAAAAATTACTTAACATGACTATACTACATTACAAAATATGATATAAAATGTAAAAAAAGCTTACCATTCATTCCAACCAGAATAACAGGTTTCCCAGTGGTAATGGTGATGGTGCCGCTAGAGCAGCACACTGGAAGGCAGAGGGGCAAAAGACTATCTGGAAAAAAATTAATAAAAATGTATCTGTCATGGTATTCAAATGTTAATGCTAAAACAGAAAGGTGTATTTTAATGAATATTAACGATGTATCAGGCATTCATTAGATTAAAAATGGAAAAGCTGGAGAAAACTTGAGAGCAAAACATTAAAAGTACAATCACAAAAAGGAAAGGAAAGTAAAATAACTTTTAACCAAGCAAGTGTGTAATATTTGTATTTAAATTGCATTAATAATACATACCAGTTTCATATGTAGAAATGACTCCACAGTCGTCTACTGTGATAAATGTTGATGGTGGGAGTTGCCTCAGAAATCCATCCATCATTGAAGCCCTGTTGTGCAGAGGTACATGTCTGTGCCGAGCTACATCGCATGAGGCACAGAACAGAGGGGTTGGAAAACAGTCTCTGCATAAAACCACTGCGGCCCTCTGTCCACATTGTTGACAGGACCGATTTTTAGGTTGTTGTGCAGAAAGCAGATGGCTGACAATTTGGGGCCGCAATAGAGTCCACTGATGGGAGGTTTTAGTTTGGCGCCTCTGCCAGGTAGAGGACTCCTCTAACTGTTGGTCAGGCCCCAAGAGTTGCTGACGGACCTCTTGGATAAGAGCAGCTAAAAAGGCATAAAACAAAATGCACAGTTAGGCAAAAATACATCATTTAATGAGATATGACAGTTAAATGTGTACAACAATAATTAAGACCTCGATCATTCTCGTCTTCCATGGGAGGCTGGACTTCGCTACAGTCACAGGGCAAAGCAGGGCCACTGCATCTCATAACTGTTTTGAGTAATGGTAAATTGAAATGGAAATATTAAAATACAAATTAGCAACAACATTTTTAAAGAATCAATAGACTGAAATAAATGCCTTCAGGTGCTCCTTCTGGTGCACTTTCAGGTGTTCTTTCAGGTGCTCTACGCTGTCGTGTCTCCCCACTTCTGGACCTCTTGGACACACTTGGGCCGTCTATATTGTCTTCCCAGACAATCACTGGACATTTGTTCTTTTTCTGCATGAACACATAAATAGTTTACACAACTTCGGTGTAAGGCAATGCACTTTATAATGGCTACTTTCAGGTTACTACTTTTTAGAGCAAATTGTGTGTGAGAGTGTTAACACCAAATTTAACACACCTGCTTCACTTCTACACCTTTTAACACTAACAAATCACATGACACCAGGGAGGGAAAATGGCTAATTGAGCCCATTTTGGAACATTTCTACTCAGGGGTGGACTCACTTTTCTTGCCAGCAGTTTAGACATTAATGGCTGTGTTTTGAGTTATTTTGAGGGGACAGTAAATTTACACTGTTATATAAGCTGTACACAGACTAATTTACACTGTATCAAAATGTCATTTCTTCATTGTTGTCCCATGAAAAGATAGAATTAATTAAATATTGGCAGACATATGAGTGGTGTACTCACTTTTGTGAGAAAATTAGGTTGACAATTATTGTACTGTACTATTCTGTGAAGTTCAGAAGTAAAGTTATACTTACTGCAAAGTGTTCCAAAGCAAGGTCAGCTAGGAAAATTCTGTCATCGTCTTCTATATCCATTTTTCACCAACAATCACTTTAGTTAACTTGTATAATTAAGAAATTTGTAAGAAAAAAAAATAAAAAATCCCGATTTCAAGAGTCGAAGCTTCAAATCTCGCGGGATAATTTGGCGCACTGGCAAATTGTGAAGGAAGTTGTTAACAGTAGTTGTTAGAATTATATGATGGCCACAACATTAGACCATAATCCTGAAAGGTAGGTTTCTATAATAATAGACTATTATCACGCTTCCGGGTTTTGTGGGCGGGGTTTATCTACTTTGTGAACTTCCACTTCCGGCGCAACAACAACAATGGCTCAAACGATGTCTAGATGTCACTGCTCTTTTTAAATTATGAAATAATCAGCAGAATCAATGCATATTCTTTGTAAATACTTTGTAATTGCTTTATAATTGGCAAAAGAAGTTACTGGGACCAGTTAAAGCTCCACAGCAGGAGCAGGACAAATGTATCAGACACAAAAAGGAGGAAAAAAGTCCACTTCAAACAGGTGTTCTCGCTCTGTCTTTTTTATTTTCTCATAGCATCGTAAACATCACGGTGCTTTGAGAAAACAAAGCACCGAGAAATTCTGGTTAAAGCGGACTTTTTTTCTCCTTTACGTCCCAGCAAAAGAGACACTTGTATGCAGACGTTAGCTGACTGAAACTGAGAGGCGAACGTTCTTCCTCTCAGAACACAAATGACATGGGGGAATTTACTTAGCCTCATGTAAAAATGAATCCTCTTGCTTTTGTTGGGTATGTTGGGTAAACGCCTTATATCCATACACCAAACTGACGTCAGCATAAGCTAACCCTCCTGTTCTAAAGCACAGGCAACCCCCACCCCGACATACAGACACTCCAACAGACCAGCACTCTGTCATACCGTCATTTCAACAACCCTCCACCCCGACATGCCCCCATTCCAACACCGATGAACCAGGACTAAACCAGGACTAATCTTGAACGAGAGAGAGAAAAAGAGACAGAACCGCCTTCCTGTATTGGAGGGTATTTGTGGAGCTCTGTGTCATTAGAGCTCAGAGTTTTACTCACGCTGCTCTGTTGGCACGAGAGGAGCCACATACACCTGACCTCCTGCAGGTGAGAGCGCGTGGAGGTGCAGGTTAACCAGTGCGTAAAAGTCCACAACTTTAAGTGCGCACGAGGAGAATGAGCGCTGCAGCCGCCTCTTTATAAACTTTTATGAGTTTATAAACTTTTATGAGTTTATAAGGGACCGACGCATTTCTGTGTCCCTGTGTTTGCCGCTCTGTCCTCTATGACCAGGTATAATTCTAATCTTTTAGCCCTTATTCATGAAAATATCCAGATTCCTAAATCATTGATCTTTTTAGTGTCTCTATCTGACTGTGAGCCCGGCACCGGTTCACTGTCTCCACACACTGAGCTTCACAGCTGTTCTCCTGCGTCCTGGTCTTTGCCAACAGGTAATGAACGTCTCCTGCTCCTGTCCATTCACAAAAATGTCCAAACTGTCACACAATTCAGTTTTTCGTAGTTTCTCTGCTTGGTCGTATCATTGCGCCTTGAGCCAAATGCGCGTCACCGCTTCCACCTGCAGTGTCAGGTAACGCCCCGTCACCTCTTCATTCATAAAGTTCCAAATTCTTACACATCTGTCCCTTGTAGCCGCTGCTCGGCTGCACTCGCAGAACCAGGACCTTTACACACAGTGGTGAGTCTTCAACAAGAGGATTCTGCCACTTCGACCAAAGGATAAAGAAATGTCGGAGTGCAGGGACGTTTGATAAAAAATGGAAATGCCGCTACTCTGACAATCTATTGCCAGGTTAGCAATTTTGCTTAGCTAAATACCTTTTTGCCGTACATGAACTAAAGACGAGATGTTAGCCATTGACCTCGACTTTGGGCATGTGCTGGGACTGCGTTAAAAGTAGTTGTAGACAGATTAAATGTGTTGTTATATTAATTACTATGGGTTACTTATTAGTAACCCTTGAATTTTGGGAAGTTTGTCCACAAATTTGTGGATTTGTTTTGACTACCACTTTGAAACACATGTAACCGGGTGATTAGACTATGTTGTCCTGCTGTGTTGCGTCTGTGAGTGCGTCCACCTGTGCGTCGCTGCGCGTGGCTCCTGGCGTCACTGATTGCGTGAATAGAAAAGGCTGCGCACGCTGTGGTGTGGCAGTCGGGGCTTTCGGTAAATTTGCGGTAAATGCTCTTTTGTTGTATATCTGGGGTGGTGGTCGCTACTTGAAGCTCATTTATTTTTCCCTGTGTAACAGATTGCCACTGCTGCATTATTCTTGCTCTTTATTCTTTATCTTAGTGTTGGTTTTAGTTGAATATTGATTAACAGTAGCCGAGGTCTTGGAGGGAAGTGCAATATTTGGTCAGGGGGTCAGTGCAATGCAAGGTCAGGTCTTTGGGTTGGCACAAGTCACTTTCGCCCAAATAGGCCTCCTCAGCACGAGCACTTTCACCAGCTTTAATTTTATGCCCTTTATTGTAACGAAGTCTACCTCAGACACCTTGGCACACGCACTTTAAATATTATTACATTATCCAGGTTTACAGCGCACCAGCACTTTAACTTATTGTAAATGTAGGGTTCAACTAGTGTCTGGTTTTTGGTATTAATGTTTGGTTTGGATTATTAATTTGATTTGTTGTGTTTTAGTTTGGGGTGTTGTTGAGTCCTACATTTATGATAATTGAGGGGTGTATCAAGAAGGGAACCAGAAAATGAAATTTTTTTTTTTTAAATGTTTAGAAGATTAAATAAAGATGTGTAACTTTTATACCACATTGCCCTTGTCCTTTTTTATGCCAGAACGGATTCTGTGAGTAAATAAGGGTTCTCGGTCGCAACATTACAGCTATGTTGTACTTGCAGAAAAGGCATGATACTTTTTGCTTAAATTCCAGAATTGATTTTATTTGTTATTCCTTTATTCTTAACAGAGTCAGTATGACAAGAGGCTCAACCAAAACAGCATGTGTCAACTGCCA